AAAAAAAAAAAAAAAAGCACATGAGGAAGTGCTCACGATCATTAGCCATTAGAGAGATGCAAATCAAAACAACAATAAGATATTATCTCACCCCAACAATAACAGCAAAGTTCAACAAGACAGAAAATAACAAGTACTGACAAGCATGTGGAGAGATTGGAACTCTCATACACTGCTGGTGGGACTGTAAAATGGTACAATCACTGGGGAAAGTGGTATGGTGATTACTTTAAAAACTGAAAACAAATACAATTTTATCCAGCAATTCCACTACTAGGAATATATCCTAAAGTGTTGAGATCCAGAACACAAATAGACATATGCACACCCATGTTCATCACAGGACAATTCACTATAGCAAAAAAAGTTGAAAACAACCTACGTGCCCATTAACAGATGAATGGATAACCAAACTATGGTACATTCAAGCAATGGAATACTATGCAGCATTAAAGAATAATGAGGAATCCACAAATCACCTCATACTGTGGATGGATTTGGAGGATACTATGCTGAGTCAAATAAATCAAGGAAGAAAAAGTAATATATGAGTCCACTACTGTAAAAAGTCAAGGAAAGATTTAAGCAGGGAAGGAAATTTACTTTTCTGGTTCCTAGGGATGAGAGGGGAGGAGAGGGAAAATGTCTAACTATTTAAGAGTCATGTGTTGATTTGGGTGAAGGGAAAGGCAATATAATAAAAGTGTGTGACCAGCCCAATGACAATACGGAAAAGGAGGACACAAAAAGTACACAAAAGATATAGACACAGAGACAAATACAATTACATGCACAATACTGCATTACCAGTGGCAGCAAACAGTAGGCTATGGGTGAATGCATAGACAGGTGAGATTAGGTGTGGGGAGGTGAACAGGAATGTATCCAAGACCAAGGATAGATTTGGCTGAAGACAGTTATACATATGTACTTCTGCTGCAAAAAATACCTACATATAGTACAGAAGTAACGGGGCAAAGTTGGAGTAGCTTCTCAGAGACAATCAAACACCTTGAGGGAGAGAGTCAACATGCCTGTGGGCTTGGGACCACAGTCTTGAGGGACATCATGCTCAATTGGCACAACATAGTACATAAAAATCTTGTTCTACATCCTACTTTGGTGAGTAGTGACTTGGGTCTTAAAAGCTATCAAGCGGCCATCTAAGATGCAACTATTGGTCTCCCC